GAAACTGTTGAGGAAGCGTGGCACTATGCTACAAACGCAGTGGTTGCGTGTGATACGCAGTTGTTGCTGGCATCCTTGGGTGTTGATAATCTGGTTTTGCCTAATGATAAACTAAAGCAGAAGGTATACGAGACTTGAAGGACTTCCGGGTTGGGTGGACTGAGCGGTCTGGAAGCGGCCCTAGCAAGTCGGTTAGCTACAGCTCAGCGGTTGTCCTCAGCAGAATCTGGCTATTCTCCTCCCACGGACGGTCAGACACACGCGGACAGTGAAGGGGCTAGTGTAGCTATACCTAGGCCTTGGCGCTTAGGTGAACTGGAGTTCGANCGAGGCGATGATGCGCCACCTGGACAATGCCGGGTGTCGAACTGGACACTTGTATCGTCAGGAAGCTATGGCCAGTCCACACCGTGTTCGTCGTGCTCGCACGCTAGATGGCAAAGGTTATACCAGTCAGGAGGATGATGCGCAAATTCCACCAGCAGCTTCTCCGATTACCGCCACAATGGCTTACTTCTATGATGATGGCGTTCTGTCTGGAGATGAAACTGAAACACAAAGACCCTCAACCTTACGCCGTGATTGGTCTCAAAAGCAATGGTTCAATACACCGAATAAGTATACCAAAGAAGTAACTAAACCGTCTCCAGCCCATCAGCCTGTTGCCCGATGGGTTTTGGAACGAGAAAATGCTATTCGAAAGGCGGTATCTAGCGGTGCATTACCACCACCAGCTCCCTTCCATCCACTTACGCCAGCAGCTGTCCCGTTGGGTAGCACAGGAGGGCCAGCAACAGGCACAGCCTCCGCCTGTGCGCCGTACAACACGTTCGCTCCCCAAGGATCCAATCACAAGGAGATCGTGATCAACAGCGAAAGGTGAAGTCGAAATATTACCACGATACGAATACTGCTATACCGCAGTCGCGTTTGCTCGATGGCCTAACGTGGGATGAAGCACGGCTTGTGAGAGACGAGGGTCTTGTCAAAGTTTTGGGTCCTCGGGGAACCGTTCTGGTTACCCAATGTGCTGTCACAGATATGCCAGTGGCTGCTGCAAGTAAAGCCATAATTCAAAGAGATGTTCGCAATGCTGCAGTCATATACGACGGCTTTTATTCTCACCAAAACCCCTTCGAGAAAATCACTGACGAAGAACTTGAAATGTATCGTAGGGAAATTGAACTGAAATCAAATCCGGAGCTAGCCATCGAGCTTGAGCGTCGTGGCATGTTTGCTGCCGATGGCACCTATACGCCAGCACAGTATCCGCCAATCGGAGATAGCTTGGCAGTAGATAGCGGTGCCACCGACTTGGAGAGTGCTAG